AGCACCTCCTACTTTGATACGTCACTATTTTGATACGTCACTATTTTGATATTTTGATACGTCACTATTTAGATACGTCACTTTTTTGAATTATGGAAGTACAGACAGTTTGATTGTTATGTCTTCAAGGATCAACGATACTATTTTTATTATTATGTAAATGATACCCCCCCCCACCCACCCTCCCCTTCGCTATTCCATTCTTCGAAGAATATTTAAATGTACTCAGTCTCAAGGTTCAACCTTAGAGAAAAATTCGATTTTTTCAAAGCGTCAGTCAATTCAACCCTATTAACTCATAATACAAATAGTTGTTACTGATGTCTTTTCGTCTTTATCAATAAGAGTCCGTTCCGCCTTTTTCGTGCTCATCAATATTTTTATTTCATTATAAATGACTGACTGTGATAGAGAAGTAAACTATTTCCCCTGTGATTTTGGTATTTATAGAATAATAATGGCTTGTTTTTTACTTGATTTCCTTTTACAGCGTGCTGATTAGTACACAAAAAAAAAGACTTGGAAAGCGTAAACGAGAATTGACACGCAATCAAACCGAGCCATATGGATCGTAATGATTGGATCACGACAGTGGATCCGAGATCATTACCAATTAGAGGGGGTGTCACTAATTGTCAGCCTGACGATTAAGGGCTATCGGCTCGAGTGACGTCAAAGGTTGCACGCGTAGATTGTCTGAGCTCTTGGCGTTAAGGAGCGCTTGATGTATATGTTATTAAACTTGACGGTGAGCGGACTTGGAAAAAGTGAGAGACGTAAACGTACAAGTTTCCCAAATAAAAACCACGGAAAAAGACACGGGCAGGGGATAATCAGAGAATTTACTTAGGCTTCGAAATTTATGATAAATGGACAGCGATTAAAGACAACATCGTCTTTTATATGCATTGAATTCTCCTCCGGCTTCGCACCCGTTGCTAGGTACCGTGACAACCAAGTCACCACACACATGTCTTCTTTTAATAGATTTTTTATAGGTTGGGGTATTTCCTCGCGAATACAATGTTTTGAGAGGGATTTAAAGCACAAATTTTAATGTTTGATGGATAAATTAGATTGAATATGCGCCAAGTCCAAATATATCAGCAAATCGCCAAGTTTGTTCGCGGGATGGTATCTTTAAACCCGGAATAACACATTTTTTAAAAGCAACCGGTTATTGAGAATTGGAATCGGACCAGTTCTCGTAAGTTCTAGTGGGATGGGTCACATCGTTCCTCTCGTCACCGTGTATGTGTCACATCTGCATTGCCGACGCTCAAAACCGAGGTACACGAACCTAGACCCGCGCTAAACTTAATATGGTTTTCAAACGATTAAATTGGTATTTTTTTTTTAAAACGAATATGCTGATCATTGACAGTGGTGATCATTGACAGTGGTGATCGTGATCATTGACAGAGGTGATCGTGATCATTGACAGAGGGGATCGTGATCATTGACAGTGGTGATCGTGATCATTGACAGTGAGGATCATAGACAGTGGGGATCGTGATCACTGACAGTTGTTATCATTGATAGTGGGGATCGTACAGTGGTGATCGTAATCATTGACAGAGGTGATCATTGACAGTGGTAATCGAATCGAAATAAATATTGATTGTCGTTAGTCCCACAGACTTCTCCATATGTACTATAATAGGCAATTCTTATAAAATATTGCACTCGAGTGTACTATGAAATTAACGAGGTCGATGCCTCGGGGGCCCTATTCTCGAGAGGCCCCCCTAAGCGACATTGCTTAATCCTATTTCAGCTCTATACATTGAAATCCTCTTAGTCTACATTAATTGAATAATGTCTCGAGTGAATTAGTATAAATGGTCTGCATTTACATGATTAATTGTAAATATGTAATGACACGCATTAGCCTTTAGACTTCTCTTAATTGAATTACTGTAATTTATCAAACAATACTATAAGACTTTAATTGATTCATGTAAAATTTAAACGCACCGTAAAAAGGATAAATGGATTATATTTGTCCTAACGGATGAAATAAATCGACACCATTTTATATCTGTTTGAAACGCACATAACGTATGTGAATTAATGCTTAAGGGCGTTTTCAGTTCACTTTGAATTCATGCCACGCAACATGATTTACATAACCAGAATTTAAATAAGCTTATTTGGTTAGGAATCAGTTTTAATTTTAAAGTTCGAATAGCCGACCTGACATCGTTAATGTGACGTTATATGTAAGGCAACATTTAATGCTTTGGTGAATGGATCTATATTACTCTTCTGGCGATTCGAACTGATTCACACAACATGTCTTTGTCCGTTTCGTATTGTTGCAAGGATCTAACAATCTCAAAATAATATTTTTATTTCGTTTTATCTTTATGTGTTTGATTTCATACACTATATTATAAGATCTATCGTATATTCAGTAGACAATACGATATAACTACACGATACATTGTTAACACAAGTTAACAGTGAGGCATCTTCATTAGAAGGCTTGATCTTGCTGGCTTGACAGCTCCAGAAAATAAAAAATAGCCTTGTTCTAAGTACTAGATGTGTCAGTGTCCTGCCTGTTGTGTAAATTATCCATTAAATCCTATTTTACTTGTTCAGAGGGTTCAAAAATATTTTTAAATCCAAGTCATATTTGAAAAGCTTTACGTCAGGCTTTTCAAATCATTGAGTTGAATTTTTCCATTTTTTTAAATTAGGTGTGTTAAGATGAAATTTGTATCATCAATTAATTGGAATATTGTAAAATAGTACAATTTGTTGAACAGAATAAAGATTGGGACATATTATTCAGTTACAACAAGAGTGGTATTGAGCCTTTAACTCCGTATATCTTATCAAGCCCTTCACGCAATACCCCGCATATTTCGGCAATAATTTAGATTGGGCACTGGCCCAGCTTGAGAGTCTATCAGATTCCTCGACCATAAGGAATGCAAAGTCTCACACTTTTTAGCTAAAATGTCTACCTTTGATAATTGACTTGCAAAGTTCAAGGTTCGTTCAATGTCAAGGTTTCGTTGGAGGTCGCCATGTTTGATTTGAGTGAGTTTGTGTCACAACATTTGATTGGAGGCTGCTGTTCACGTGTTTGTGGTGAAGGGAGATAACGTAGCTATAAGTTCCGGAATTGCCAAGTAGTGTAGCAAAGTATAGATGTTGTAAATCTCACAGTCGTTGCTCCAGTGAGGCTGATGTCCCTCGCTGAAATCCCAAAATAAATAGATGACACATATTAATTAATTGCACATTTATCTTTTTCAAAGGTATCGAGCAATCAAATTGATTATCTATTCTTAGTCTAAGCATAAAATGTTCACTATCAAACTCAGTCAATGTTTTGAGGTACCTAGTTTGCGTACGCAGAAAATGCTCAGCATCGAACTTTGTTACGGTATTGGTGCAATGAAACTATACACGAGGTTTCAGCACAATCACTCAATTAGAATCAAAGTTGTCGGGCTCCAAAGTCTCGACCAATCAAATTGCTTATCGTTCTGCTTACCCTGAGCTTATCGAACTTAGTCAAGGTATTGATGTGATGAAACTATACCCCAAGTAAATGATGTAATTATTAACACTTTCATAAACGGTGATAGATTCTTAATAAACATTTACTCATCTTATAAGTGTTTTCGCGCCATCAGAATTCTGCAAAATATTCTCCCAAAGTACAGGAAATGGCATTCCAGGGACTCGAGACCCTACTAGAAAGCTAGCAACTGAGGTGTTCGGCTCGTGGATGCGTCACTCGTATATCAGTCGGTCTCATTTATACTGATAATAACAGTTGTTGAAAGGTGGTTCCCTAACAGACGATTACAAAACGAAATCAAACAAAATGATAAATGAATTCCAGGTTGTTATAAAGACAGGGAATCATATAGATACGTTTTCACCGGTTAGTGCTAAATGATAAGACCTGCTCAATTGTTCGTCATAGTTCACGAGATGTAAACAGGACTAGAGCAAATCCCCAACCTCTCCCCCAAATTCTTAAACCTAACCCACAATCTCACCAACAATCACGTGCCCTAAGGTCAATTTGTCGTCACGAGATGTAAACATGGCTAGCGATAATCCCAACTCTAACCCTAACCCTGGACCTAGCCCCAATGCTTACCCTAACCCTAACCTACAATCTCTCCAACAATCACGTGCCCTAACCTTATTTACATATCAACGACCTTGACAAAAACTGAGTTGGCCTTAACAAATAGATTTAGCCGTTATAATACCAATCAAATCTCATCTTTTTAGGGTGTTATGATTATTAAAACCTGATCAAATCATTGTTAATACTCCACAACAAGCTATTAATTAAACAATTCTGTTTATGTCAGATAAAGTGGTCGCGGATAACATTTTATCAAATTTCATCTTCTTTGATAGTTTGTCATTATTGAAACCTAATAAATCATTGTATATACTCCGTAACAACTTATCCATTAATCAATTGATCAATTTGTGTTAATTTTCAGGTAAATTGGTCTTACTGTAATGTTGTTATTAGCATTAAACTTTATAATCCTTAATTAAATTAAATTCCCTTTAGGTACATGTAAATAAGGGGTATCTCTGGTTGGTCAGAATTAACTAAGTATTGTTGTGTACATGTATATATTGTCTTGTTATATTTTCATATTTTATCATTGCTTGATAATGACTAGAGAAGCCTATTCTTTAAGTGGCATTTAGCGATCGGGGAACACATTAACAGAACACAGTTTTTATGGGATACAATCACTGGTTTATTCTAAAAGCACGACGTTTCGACAAGTATCCTCTTATCGTTATCAAGCACAAAATGACGATAACGATAAGAGGATACTTGTCGAAACGTCGTGCTTTTAGAATAAACCAGTGATTGTATCCCATAAAAACTGTGTTCTGTGAGAGAAGCCTAGTGGAAACATCACTCGGTAATAAGCCAGTAATTGTATACCATACAATTGTAACATACATTACATTGAAGAGTTATATTTGTTTTACAGGGCGGAGAAACGTCAAGCCAGATGGGATGCTCTGGTTGATAAACTAGGTCACATACCACCAGAAAGTGATGCATCCAAAGTCTGGACGTTTTTAATGGAAGGTGAACCATTCAGTATCGTTTTATGTAAGTTTGTATATTTCTGTATATTGGAAAACGTTGAAATCAATAATAAAAGTTTCGTCCATTTTCCTGTCAGCATATTTGTACCGGTGTTTAAGATTTATTAATACAGTTAATAAGTCCATTTCGTACCAGTATGAGAAAAGCCTGATCGAAATATTGTTAGAATTACTTTGATATTCTATTTCTCGGGATAGTAATAATCTAATAGGGGGCGTGCGAACTGCATCATAAGGTCTGTCATTGAGGCAACTGGCGTGGTTCCGACTCCCCGTTTGTACGTGACAAGGAGTAGGGTCGCATGTCCAACCTCGTTGGTTTTCTCCGGGTCCTTCGGTTTCCTCCCACTGCTAAAGACTCCTAGACGCAAGCGAATCATTGAAATAAAATTGAACCATGTGTTAATCCTAAAATGACCTAGTTTGTGTCGAGTGGATGTTACCCCCCCCCCCCCTCTCTAGTGATATTCAATTACTTTTTTGAAATGTCAGATATCCTCTCACAGTCTCACATAACAACTGTTGATCTTCGAAGGAATTGTTAGTGAGCAGAAATTCGCCCGTGTATCTTTTATCACTCGTCACTTCAGTCAGTTATATAGAAGGATAACTTGTGTTTTCCTTTTGCGTTCGTCACTTCCGATCCAGGAAACCTGTATTACGTAACTATCGTAGCAATGATCTCTGTGTTAAAATTATATTTGGAACGTCCTTAACCAGTTCTATCACATATGTGATAACGACTGACACCAATGTTGTCCTTTAATAATCCGCTTATTAATCTAATAATTCCTCTAAAAGGCATACTTGAAATGACAGCCAACTGAATCAAAAAAGCCTGTCATTACGCTTCTGGAAGGGGTCAATGTCTTCTTCCTTTTTTATGAGGTTTTGGTGGTTACGGGGTACAATTTATAAAAATCAAAATACACAGCTAGTAGTTTAATGGACGCGGTCACTAGGCCAAGATATCTCAGGTAGATTAATGGATTTTTTAATATCTCTAACAATTTATAGCAATTAAGGTTTGGGAGAACTGTAATTAATGGATACGGTCACAGAACAGGAAGTATCTATAATTATTTTGTCACCATGCCACAGTATCAGTCTTGGAGTTCAATTCGGTACATACATACGCTATAAAAATTAAAGAATTATTTCAACACATTCCGTGTGTTTTTTGTGTTTGGCCGGCAAGTCTAGCCCAGTTGTCATTGGTATTAGACTTTCATTGTTACAATAACCATTTATCTTCTGCTACAAGCAAACAAAGGTGGGAACAAATCGCTGCACCTCGAGTCCCAAATCGACACCCAAGTTGCGACTTTAGTAGGGAGTTTAGTCGAGTCCGAAGTCTTAACAAAGCCCAAGTACCATTCAGGTCGCCAATTGATCAAATGAGTCAGTAAGGCAAATTAGAGATATGTCCCCTCACCTCGACTTACGTCCTTATGTTTTTCAAGTCGCGAGTTTTACGACTGTCAAGGCCTAGTCGAGTAGATTGTCGATTAGGGTGTTTGATGCGACGTAAGTGGGACTCGAGTGAGAGTCGCGGGACTCGGTTCCCATCCCTTCATATAAATGGCTTTTTGTTCATGTCTAGATCTTAATTTATGGATTGTGGCTGGTCTTGTCTTTAGACTCCCACTCTCCTTGTCTGTTCTGCGGGCTCCATCCTCGACAAGCCTTGACCGGACTTGAAAATCCACAAGTTTGTTCTCGACCTCACAAATACTGTTAATGATACCGCGCGAGTTTATTTTTTACAGTGTAAAATAACTGATCAATTAACTTTGTTATCACCAATTATTAGAACTCCATCCATTATTGATAATTAACTAATTATTTTTTCATAACATCGCACGTATTGAACTAACTAATGAACTTCCTGTATTATAGGCGTATAGACATCTATCAGGTTAAAATAGAATGTTGATTTAAATGTATGACATCAGTCACAGTAAGTTTAACACAAGACCCCCCACCCCAACCCTCTAGTGACAAAATAACTATCATCATTAAGAAAAGAAATAAAAATCGATTAAATAGTAAATCCTATTAATCAGAAAATAAGTGTCATTGAAAAAGACCTATTCAGTGGTGTGTTCGAGAATTTAAGCTGGGGAGTGTCCGGGCTGAAGACAATGTCAAGTTTGCCGCGTGGTTCGGTGGATTACCTTTGAATTTTATAAAATCAGCAGGTCTACTATATAATTAGTAAGTTTTAAATTACATATTGTAATAATCACTTCCCATGTCAAAATTATGGGTCATTTTGACAAATTGGTTTCGAATCCCCGATTGTACGTGACAAGGAGTAGGGTCGCCTGTCCAACCTCGTGGGTTTTCTCCGGGTCCTCCGGTTTCCTCCCACTGCTAAAGACCCCTACGCGCAAGCGAATTATGTAAATAAAATTAAACCATATGTTAGTCCCGAAATGACCTAGTTTGTGTCGAGTGGACGTTAAACCCCATTCTCCCTCTCTCTCAATCTCATTAAAATACAGATCTATGACGTCAGACATTGATTAATCAATCAGCGTTGACGTTTCTAGTGCTTTACCGACAGTTCTGTGCACCGCCCGCCAAGAACTCGTCGTAACACACCGTTTCATTGGCTAATCCCTCACATCAACCAGAACGCGGGTTATATAACAAATATTCCAGATCCTAGTGTAGTAAAGACAAGTAAAACGAAATTTTGAACTATAAAAAAAAAAAAAAGAAATACGAAACGAAATAGGATCTGTGTTTTATTCAGCTTGGAATAAGTCGCATCACCCCAACTCAATACGTAATATTGACCTATATATAACTAGAACATGACGATAACAAAGAATGAATGTTCTGTACGGAATATAAATTCAATCACCGTCAACCATCTACCTTCAAGTAGGTTTAATGCGGTATTTTTTGCTTTTTATCCCCAAAATCGATCATAACTGATCGTATAAAATTCATGTCTATATATTTTTTATCGAGTTTGGGGTATCCTGTTCCACGTAATAAACAATATATTAATTGATTTTCTTGTCTAATTAACGTTATTCTGCTTTGAAAATCGACATTAATGTATTTGAATAAATGTCTATTAGCATTCTGACACGAATTATTTACGATGTGGAATTTTCCATCAGTGATGGAATTATACTTTCTCTACCTATGAATCCGTGAAAATTATTAAATTTGATCCATCTGATGTCTACATTACTTTTGATTCGTGCCGTAGACAGCTAAAGTATAGATGTGGGGGTGCACATATTTCAGAATTGGTTATTGGCTGTGTAGTCAGCAAGACAGCTGAGGGCCAAGCCCCCTCCTCCCCCCCCCATCCCATCTCCATACGACCACCTTTTACTACTCTTAGACAATAATAAGTGTGCCATCTATTTCGCATAGGCTAGCCCATTCTGTTGGTCTTGTCTGTGTAGTTAGCAAGACAGCCGAGGGTCAAGCCCCCCCCCCCCCACCTCATCTCCACACGACCACATATACTTCTCTTAAACAAGTATATTAATAATTGTACCATCTATTTGGCATAGGCTAGCCCATTCTTTTGGTCTTTTGGACTTTTATAAAAACTAAAATGTGCTTAATCAAATAACAACAACAGTAGATTAATACAAATTTTCCACATTTAAAATGAACGTGAACAATACAGCAACATATGCCTTTAATAAACAAAAAAAAGTGAAAAAACTCTGTAAAATATTTTACCATATAAATATCGATTTTTGTTGCAATAGAAAGAAATTATAGACAAAAAGACAGTTGTTGATGAGACAAACGAGCCATTTAATTATCAGGTATAAAATAATCGATGATAAGGCACCGCTTACTGTAGTTCAAAACAATTAAACAGTCGTTTACATCTTCATAAAACAATAGAAAAACTTTCAATTTTTAATTGCTGCTTATTTTCGTTGTGTTTAACATGGACAGTTGGAATGCAGTACGATTTGGAACCGTTTACGAATCGATTAATTTAATACCGAACGATCTCTTCTCATAGAAATAAAGTGTACTGCTACCGTAGTTCAGCTCTGTACGTTCAGGAACCCTCCTGTTGAATTCTTGTCGAAAAAGAATCGTCCCCCAGTCAATTTTACTGGGCAACTTTTTTTTACTGCGAACGTTGGAGTGTCAATCCGTGTGAACGCTTGTACAATATAAAAGAACATCTTAGTGAGAAAATAAGACCTTGCTTACCTCGCTAGAGTCAGTATGAGCGACAAAACACGTATAAAAATACGTCCCCTCATATCAAGTTGCCTTTTCGCCGCCATGACACTCTAAATATTGGTCAACGTCTATTTGGTTTGATTTTCTATTTTAAGCCTATAGATAAAGTCAGTATTTCGACATAAGTTTGGGTTTAACGTCCTGGGCCGATTGCTCAAAACTAAGTTATTTTAACGATCCGTTAAACTCTTAAAGGGCCAATCCCGATAATATTTTAGAGAATAAAACTTCTTAATTTTGTGTTAAAATCCCTTAAAATCCCCTACCTTAGGGCCGGGCAACTAACTCAATATCTGTGATATATTTTCAAACAACTTAAACCTGTCAATCTTCATCTGGAAATGGAGACTGGTGTCCCAAGCTGTATTATGCGGTGTCTGGATAAAACCAGGCTTTAATTTTATAAAAAAAATTATGTGTAGGTAAAATTTACCTTTCGTTATGAAGTACAGCACATGGGTCATTCATTGTATAGACCTCTAAAGGAACGGGAATCAATTATCAGGTCATCCAACAAAAAAATTGACCCGAAATCTTAAAAGGGTTACGTGTCCGGATAAGCAGTTTTGACGTTCACGCCCAAACGACTTAATATTTTGAGCTGAAACTTTGAGGCAAGGTAATTACACCATTCCTCTATATTTTAGCGCTGAAATATCATATGTACTTAGACTTTTATTTTTGAGACTCTGTTCAATTCGGGATAGTCCCTTTAACTGATCGTTATCTTGCTAACGTGTCGTCAATTTCATTATCCGTTAG